ATCCCTTTTTCTTTTTTAAATATGTGCAATCCTCATAGATCCAACTCTCTGTCATCATTCATTTTTAAGCAAGATTAAGCTGAATGTAAAGCAGCATTTCTTCTTTAAGATTTTTTTATTTCAGAGGGTTACACTATGCCACGCAGCAGCGCTAATCCCAGCATTAAATTAGACAAAGGGGATGAAAATAATTTAAGATGATGTAAGCCTGCAGGCCCTAATTTATTAAATCCTCCCTGCACCGAAACACAAACTTCTTCCTGAATAACAGCCGAGATGATACTCTGACCAGTAGTAATTAGATTTCTGAGCGCTCCCAGAGGTAAACAAACAGCTGACTACTGTTTACTTTTAATCATTATTCCATGTTTGTACAACATAATCCTGTATGTGGGCTCAGGCTGCAATAACAACCGGGACAACTGGTAACTCGCAGCAGCAACGCAGTTCAGCAGGGGAGACCTGGAGGGACCTGCGAGCAGAGGGCGCCAGGGAACAGCATCGTTAGCGTAAACTCCAGCTACACATCTGAACTGGTGACAGCGAAAAGGCCCCGAAGACCAGATGTCTTACAAGAGGAACAGGCTCCCGTTTCCGTAGCAATAGCACATAGGAGGTGTATTTCTCACCTCTTTCCAGTGCCGAAATCTGAATTTAATGAGGTTTTTTTAATTACTTTAATCCCCCAGGGCCTTATTAAAATTGAGAATTTGAATCCATCTCTGGCTGCCACAACATGTTATACATCATTAAATACACAACCCAAATCAGAGAGGGTTGTATGGAAAAAATCTAATTAAAAGAAAACAGAGCAATTCCTCCATTTACTAGCATTCTTACTGTGTCACAGCAGACAGCGTGAACCATTTTCATTTGTTACTAAAACGCTGACTTTTAGTGGGACACCTTTAATATGAGACTGTTATTATTTGACACAAGAGCAGCATTCACAAAAAGAGTGGAAATTCATTTAAAAAAAAAAAACTCCTGGCCTGTTCTATCCTGGGTCTGCAGAAACAAATTCCAGAAAAAATAGAGACTTCAATCTGCCCGAAAGTCTGAACTAAAGTTAGGAATCCGTCATGGTTGAAATGAGTTGAACGAGCGAATGACTGGTCTTTTATTTGTGTACAAATATGCAGATAAAACAGGAAACTAGATGCTGAGGCAACACAATGTCTCCTTTCAGTGTAGAAGTTTTATTAATCCCCCAAACAACAACGGTCCTGTAAACACATAATTGATTTAAAAGCCACCAAGGAATTGTAATTACCCACGATATGGATCAGATATTACACCTTTATATATCAAATGGCCCCAAACATCCATTTTTCTTTTCTCTCCAATAAAAAAATGACTATTAAATAGCTGTACTGGTGGAACACTTTAACATTTAACGACACTTTAATGACACCAGTATCAATACTAATATGGCTGTTTGGTGTCAGTACTTGTAATTCTCAAGACTACATCAGCACCATGCATCACTCCACTGGAGCCTCCCACATCTGTATGCATTTAAAAATGATTCAGACACATCTGTTTGGATCCCTTTTCAATACACTGACCTGAGATCTGCAATTACTGTGTTCACATGCTACACTTTGACCTCGCCCTCTTTTTAGGGAACCTCAGACTTCTCAGCTTGTCATCTCCTGCTGCAGCTCTGCTCAGGGCTGAACTGAGAATACAGATGTGCTGCTGTGCAACTCCAGGGTAAGCACTGCCCCTGCACAGCTGGAAACCTCTGTAATCACCCTGCTCAAGCATCATTTTAACATTGTAAAACAGAAATGACTGTTTAAAACTGCTGACTGGGCTGTACATGGAAAACCTTTAATAATCAAAAGAGGGATCATGAGAGCATGTTTTTGTTGCTAAATCCCAACAGCCAAAAGGAGCCTGAACAGTAGCTGTAACTGCGTTCCTACAGCAGTCTTATGTTTAACAGTGACATATTGCGTTTGTGTGATCATTTAGTCTTTCACATGCACCTTCTGTGATGTTCAGTGTCCACATCTACATTCCATTTTCTCTAAAATCGAAGGGTTGGGTCATGAAAAGAGAGCACAATGTAGGCGTCACCCTCCAGCAACTGCAATAGATTGATATCAAACAAATAGTCATGGCGCCAGTGTCCATCCAGGAACCTCTAAATGCACGGGCGGGGATGGGTCTGGACCTGGTGCCAGTTTGGCATTGCTGTTATCATCCAAAGGAGTTGTGTTTCTGCATGTTTCCGCCAGCCTGTGCAGGTTCAGCTGCGTGTCAAACAGGATGGTCTCGGATGGTCAAACCGGTTCCCAAATGATGAGGGTGTGTGTGCCCCAAAATAGCAACAAAGCTGACTTTTCCGAAGGTGAGGGATTTTTCACAATGACTCAACAAAGGTGTCAGAGAGATTATGATTCTGTGATGTGTAAGATGTGCCAGAAGAGCAGATATCTACACCGTGCAAACCAGAGTGGAGTTAGAGGTGCCAGCAGAAACTTTATAAAAAAATAAAAAAAGGTTGAGGGGGAAGTTGCAGTGGTACGGTTGCATGAGAAACTGGAGATGACCTGATGCAAACCGCCTGACACCCACAGAAGCTCCACAGACCAAAGAGGAGCCAAATTCAGGCCCCTAAATGTCAGAGAGTGAGCTGAACAAGCAGCACACAAAGAAAACCTCTCATTACACCCTGATAAGCAGACCAAACAGACACACAGCCGCGCTAAATTATTTGGCCTCACACCACACGTCCAGGCATAATCCTGAGTTTAAACACGCACACACACACCTCCTCAGAGCACAAAAACAGGGCGATTAGAGTCTCCTGCGAAATGAAGGTGAGAGGGATCTCGTTTCTCTTCCCATCTGCTGCTGGCCACCAGGCAAAGGGACAAATGTCAGACAGCTCTGAAGACGGAACCTGCCGTTATTTTGAATACAACCACAAACGCCGCCCTTGTCGACCTGGTGCGCTTTTGCGTGCCAGCTTTCTTTTGGCTGATCGCTCCCTGTTGACTGAATCGGACAGGCGTGAACGTGAAATAAGCACAAACAAGGGAGTCTCTAAGAATGTAAATTCTCTCACCGCCACTGTTCACGGCAGGGCCCCGGGGCCACATTCAGAGCCCAACCCACAACCTTTCAGGAGGCCGCAAAACAGTGGCAGCACAAAACGAGCCGTTGTGGGGCCACGTGTGACACCGACAGGGAAATGAAAATTCAAGGTTCCCAAAACCGAAACAGACATTTTCCCTACTTTAGCGCCTGTGTAATCAAGGATGGCAGATCAGTGTGTTCAAAACCACGATTCATTCATCCGTACTGTCGAATGATGTGCAGCTGCTCCTTCCTGGGAACACATCTGCACCAGGTGCACAAACTGGGGTCCATTTCTAGCGAGATGCAGCTGGATAACCTTTGCTGCAACAACCTCGAGGACCTCATTTTGCCGGTGCCAAAACGTGGAACAGCGTACAAACGCATGTGTCCAGAAGATCATGTGTCCATGAGCTGGCGACGGATGGACCGGGATTTGGGTGGAAATCCCTTTTTCAAACAGCCCATCTTCTCTCCATATGTCTGTGCTTAGTGCTCGGAGGTCACTGGCTTCTGGCTCATAAAGCCGGCCAGGCAGGTTGGTCGTGGTAAAGGTTACCTCAGGTTGTCTTCTGCCTTCACCACGGCTTCATTTTGCCACAGGCCAGAGTCGCCTCCTTCCTCAACTATTAATGGCAAGAGTCACAGAAGCACACCTCTGACTGGGCTTAACTTATGCGTTAGAGATACTGAACTTTTCTGCTTTTGACAGAGAAAGCGTTGGAATATGAAGGAGCGATGGAAGAAAGCAGGTCTTTTTACATCATCTGCTTATTGTCCATTAATTTCCGTCACTGACTGCTCTGTCAGCTTCGGCACATCTGCAAAATGCTTTTGGTCGTGGCTAGTGTTTCTGACATCTTTCCTCCTATCCTGTATTCACTGAGTCCATGTGTCTCTTATTCTTGAAAAGCCCCTCTCCTGATCCATTGTGCGTTCTCTTCTTACCCCAACATGCACAAGTGAGACATATCAACACTGTGCCATCAAGCCATTTATCTGATGATGCCGGGAGAAACTGGCTGTTCGAGCCTGAACTCATCCACTGGAAACCCCGCCGGCGGCTGATAACCACCTCAGTGAGATCAGTGTTTCAGAATCACCACCGTTCGTTTTAAGACAGCAGATAACAGGGCCTGCCTGACACGGCCTGTTTGTGTCCAAAAACAAAAATAGAAAAATGACATTAACAATCTTTTTAATAATTTTTAGGGCCGACTGAAACTTTTGGGAATAAAAGGGCATTGAAGATGACCAAATGCTGCCTACGGCTTTCAGTTGGCTCTTTTACAGAAAACAGGGCTACACGAGCAGATGCATACCTCCGTTTTGACACTGAAATCAGTGCCCCGCATGAGAGCTTCAGAGAAGCTGAGCTATAAGGCTGGTTTCCATAAACAACCCTGTCTGATGGCAAAGTGTTTCACCAAGGAGTTCTGGGGGCTGACACTTTACAGTGAAATTCGACTGCCTATAAAATGTAGGCGGACACCAAACGGTTTGAAAAGTCCCTGCATTTGCCACAGACAGGCTGCTCAAGCCGTGCCTAAACTTCACACAGCTTCCAGTATTTTGACGGAGTCAAAAACATTGCAGTCCACAACAACAAAGCAACTTTGCTTCCTCTTACAGAAAGATGGAAAAATCCCAAAACACCATCTGTAACCGCTGGAAATTCTGTCTGTCACAAAGAAAATCATTTTAAATCAAACACAACAAAACACAACTAAATTTCAAATGCTCCCAATGAGACAGGCAACTGTCAAAAATGAGCACAAACAGCACAACACGACAGAGTGGAAACTGAAGTAAACTGGGTCAAACAGGTATGTCGACCCGTCCGACTCACTTATGTTCTAAGCCTTAAAAGAGAAGTCAGCGAACACAGAGAGGGATAATCTCTTTATTACCTACCTAGCAAAGTTAATGGTGAAGGAAGGAGGGCTTGGGAAAGCGTCACTGGCCCTGTGGATAGCAGAGTTATCTCCGACCCCTTGGCTCCTGTTCCACGCCCCGCCGATGGCGGTGACCGGCAGGTACAGGCTGGACACTGGCTTCTGATCCTTCTGCTGCTGATTCTCGGTGTTGCTGGGGTTGACTCCAAAGTGGTAGCTCTGTCCTCCCGAAGTGCTGACTCCGCAGATGGAGATGGGGTTTCTGCCTGGAACGTCTGTGCCGCTCATCTGGCAATAACTGTGGCCCGAAGAGCCCTTCTCCTGTTTGATCACACCTGGGGTGCACAGCTGAATTACGTCGGCATCTTTTTCTTTTTTCACCAAGGCAGAAAAAGTGGTTGTAGGTGTTAGGGAAGAGGTCGTGGATAAGGAGGAGCTGCACAGATCTGGACCGGTCACTGTGCTGCCGCCTGTGGCGTTACTGCTGTCCACCACAGCTGGTTTCACATCTCTCTCTGATGACCCCCTCATGTCCCCGTCCCCAATCAGAGAATCATCTGTCAGCGTGGACAGAAAGGCATCGTCCCCGACATAAAAATCTGCAGGGGAGCCGGTGATGTCAAAATCATGGAGCAGGTCCAGAGTGGTGTCGTTAAACAATTTCTGGTTCATGTTCACATCTTTGCCCATGTGATCAAAAGTGTGATCCAGATCAATGGGCTCCTGCTCAGCCTTATCCATGAAAAACTCCTCTGTTTTCATGGCAAAGAAGTTGGGGTCAGATCCTCCAATGAGGGAATCCATGGAGGACTGGGACATATCTGCAATACTGGCTTCCAACTGGGGCAAATTCTGATGTCCAAAACTCTGTGACTGGAACAACTGCTGATCTTTGGTCAGACCTGTGGGCTCCAAGCTTTCAACCAGTAGGCCTGCGGTGGGGGGGGCGGAGGCCGACGTGAGCTCCTCTGGAAGTGGGCTGTTGCTGAGGCCGTTAGTCACCTGTCCAGGCTGCATCAATGAGCTGGATGGAAGAACGACAGAGGTGCCAGATATGATGGACACGGCACTGTGAGGAGCCACTTTCAACAGACCTCCCTCTTCAGGGCTTTCAGTATAGACCAGTTTGCTTAGAGGGTCATCTCTTCTGTATGTTATCTTCTTCACTCCACCTTGATCCATCTTTTTTTGGGGGGGTGGGGGGAGGGGGGAGGAGGAGGAGGAGGAGAGAAAAACAGAACTTTAAACAAGAAACTACAAAATAATACAATTAAAAACACACCAAATGCAGATAACTGGATGCACAGGAAAAGCTTCCACCGTGGGATAACTTTTACAAGGGTTTTAGTTTCAGGTTGAACTAAAGTGGAGTGGAGACAACTGTGGAAATAAAACTTTAAACACACACCAGAGAATATTCATTATTTTTATGAGTTTGGTGCTTTTATGGCCTGTCAGTAATCACCATGTTTTTTTTTTAATTATAGTGATTTTACATGTTTTTTCACACCCTGCTGTTTGTTTTACATCTTCTAAACTCATAAAGCTTCCTTTAAGAGCCTATTATGTTTCTAACAATGAATCTCTTTTTCATGAATTCTGTATGTTGTTTTGTTTCTTCACTCTGGTCGTTTGAAATATTTTCAAAGTGACTTCAGAGTCGTGTCTAATCTCCGTTTTCTTTCCTCCGACCAACTTTACAACAAAAGAAAAAATGAAAGGAATTTTATCGTAGCGAAGTCAGGGGCCTATAGGTCCTTTCAGATCCCGGGCCTCTCGCCACTGTGCACGGTCACTGGTCTGTCCACCACCACGGTCAAACGCTGAGGCAAAGAGAACCCCCCACCCAGAGCGCTTGACAGTTAGCAAAGCCTTGCCTGGCTAGCTGACGTTAGCCATTCCTCCTTGCAAAATCCCCTCATTAACCTCGAGACCTTCATAACCAAACGCCAGGCGACGACTAAAACGACTGCAAAACAAGGCGGGTGCAACCGAGTAACGCACGCAAAGAAAAATAAAGGCCGCCTGAATCTGACTCTCAGTGTCGTTAGCTTGGTGCTAACCGTGTACATGCTACAGAGCAACGTAGCAGAGTTAGATGCTACAATTCGTTCGGATGTCGTTGACACCGTCGTTAGCCTGCTGGCTAACACGGTAATTATTGCAGTATTTTAAGCAAGCATTGTACCACGTTTAAGCATCTAAATCCTGTTACTATTATAGAAAAATTCTCATATTTACCCTTGAAATGGCCGCTTGCTGATATGTGTCCACGGGTCATCAGTCAGCATTGTTTTGGTTGAAAGTGGCAGTTCACAACACGCTGACTGATTCCGTTAACGTTTCTCCTCTCTTGTCGTATCGTTGCTACATGGCTCAATAATAATAATAGAACAAAAAACCCCACGCCAGCCTGGTTATGGTCTATCTTTGCCCGGTCTTCCAGTTCGACTTTGCAGTTAGCACTCATCCAAAATGTCACACTGCTTGAACCAAGTGGCAAGCCATTAGGAAAGTAGGCGCTAACCTCAAGGAAAAACACACAAAATGGAGAGCCAGGCAAGGCAGCCCCATGGCCGACGAGCTCACAGCGAGCAGGCCTGACACCTGCCGGCCGGGGACTGCAGGTTGAAGGCTGAGGCCGATCCTCAAGATGGATGTGCTCTGAGGTTTATGAGGCAATGGATAATTGATGAATAAAACACTATGATGTAACATGGAAGCCAACAAACAGAAGCATCATAACTCAATATAAAATATAACCATATTTGAAATGACACAACACTAAAAAAACAGACAGAATTCATTCAAAACACAGCAAAACAAACACATGATATCTTATTATGTCTTATTTCTGGTTGCTCAACTGTAAAATCGTTAGATGAATGCACTGAAAAAATGTTTAAAGATGGCTATTTGTTGATCACAGCATTTAGAATCTGGAATAATGCAATACCGTGTTGAATCACATATCAAAATAAATGCGATTTCAATTAAGATTTTGCTCATTGATAGTTTGCATTAACGATCATTCCAACGTTTTCTCCTAACTGTTTATCCTAATGGATTTTTCATCAATGCAAACTAACGATGACTCATTTAGATAATTGGTTCTTTTTAAAAACAAAAAACAGATCAATCTATTAATGCTCAAGGAAAATGTTCCTTGCTGCACCAAAACAAGCACTGTAGAAGATATATTTTTATTGGTTTATTTTATAATATATTAATGTGTGGCTCTTAGGAGTTCAAGATAAATAAAATAACCCTGGTTATTCAACAAAAACTGCAGTTTGGTGGGCAGAAAACTGTAAAATACTTTGTGCTTACCTAAACATGTCAGTTTGAAAGTCGGCCTCATTTTTCTGAAGATATGAGTGGCTATGCAGTGAGTGGGAGAAGTGACAGAGCGAGGCAGACAGCGTGTGCACCGGGAATAATAACTCTGCAAAGAGATCCATATTATTTGTTATTTTCAAGGCCACACAACTATGCATTACGCAGCTCTCCATGAGACGGGCATTCACTTATTTGGTTGTGCGTTGTGACACTTCAAGGGAAAAGCTTTGACCCCAGACATGCAAAGTTATCACTGAACATTTCAACACAAGGAATGCTGGATGGATAAAAATGTACTGTAAAGTTCCTCACATTTGAATGAATGAATACATTTAAAACTCTCATTATGAAAAGGTTAGTTTCAAAATTTCTCTGGCTCAGGTCGGACTCCAGATCATAACGCGAGAGCTTGCAAAACCACAGCTGACAATTTAATGTTCCAGCACATACAGATTTCTTCATCCATGCTCAGCTGGGAGCCATATTGTCTTACATTATTCATGCTGAAGTTGCATGAAATTCAACCCCTTCCAAAAGCTAGAAACTAACCTGGGAGTTGTGCATGAGCAAGAAATAAAGTGAAGACAGGAGGCAGGAAAATTGTCTCTAATAGGAGGGCGACTGAGATGAATAAGAAATAGGCTTTATGGCACACCTGGGAGGAAAATCATTCCCAAGCAAATCATGTACGGTTACGCAAGTCCAACACAAATCGTGCACGATGAAGCTGTTTAATGGAGGCAAACTTTACCTACATTTGCGTATGCTTTAATATTACAGTCACGGCATCTACAAAGCCCAAAACCATTCATAATGTAAGCAGCAAAAATCTCACATCTAAAAAGAAAAAGGGTGACCAGTCAGTTTTGCACTAGCTCTAAATCCCTACTGTTTGAATCCCACTCAGTCCCCTGCGGCTGCTTAGCAACCCCTCTCCACTACAATACACTTTGAATTAACAGGGTAAAGCGTGACCACTGCCTCCTCCAAACCACGAGTCAAGGGTGCTCTCCCATCATCTACGTATTCTCTCAGCACCATAGCAATAAAGGCCCCCTGATTTATTAGAACGTGGCTCCAAACAGACCCACGAAAAACAAACAGGAAGCAAAGCAAACAAGAAACGGCCTGAAATATGGTGACTCCATGTAATGTAAACTTGAGAGACCTGAGAAACACCCCCGCTACTGGAAAAGTCACTTTACAGTTTGAGGTGTTCATGAATATTATTGCCCGCTTATTCAGTTCCCATGTACTCACATTATAAATCAGTTTGTGACCCACATGAAGCTGCACATTCAAAGGATGACAGGGATGTCAATCCTTCAGCTTTGCATCTCACTTCATCCAAAGTGGATTTTCCACTCTGCAGCAGCTGGCCTCCCACATGTGTATACCGCTGACACTATGACAAATTCAATGAGCGGGCCCAGAGCACTAAGTCCCATATCCCTGCCTTCCCCTCTATATAATCTGGAATATATTTAAGATTTGAAGGTTCTTTTAAGTGAGTTTCTGAAGCCTGCTAGGAACTGATGCAGCTAGACAAACAGAAGGGGTCCCTTATCTATTTATCAGAGAGAGAATGTACTGTCATAATCACCAGTGGTATGTCTGCAGTGCTGAAATATGAATCCACCAGTTTAAATCAAAATCGATGCTGAAGAGATCATCTTTCATATCCAGTCATTGTGTTCTGGATGAAAGAAGTGCCGTTGGTGCACACAGATTCAATGGCATCTTAAGAAGGCCATAGCCGGTTATATTCTAGTTTCCTTTATTGATTAAAAAAAAAAACTGAAACGGGATGGAATCGGAGTTAAGGCTCTCACTGTCTGTGATGTCCGGTAGATATAAAGGCGGATCAGTTTTTTTGAACAGGACATTCTCGCTTAACCTTTCACCCCTCTCTGGGGGAAAGGCTGTCACCTAAAAGCGTTGAATATGGGCGTACAAAGCCTCTGTGAAGAATCAGAGGGAGGGATTAAAATCTGATGCGCTGCTATGTTAAAACTGCATCTGCCCTGAATTCTCATCGCCAGCTGCAAGCCGCCGGTGGCCAGCGCACAACGCCATGGAGAACTGCACAGATGCACCCCGACCAGTCTACTAAAAATGCTATTTTCCTTTAAGATGATGTAAGACGTTACTTCACGGGATGATTCCCCCCCCCTTCACTCTCTCTCCGTGGCACAGCTTGGAGGAACATCATTTTAAACCCTTCTGCCTGTTTAGCCGTTTCCGCACACAGCAGTTTGGAGAGATGGGAGCGCACCGGAGTCCCGCTTCCACCCTCCTCCCCGGGAGCAAGCTCGGAGCATGTTTCAGCATCCCAGCAGTCAGGAGACACGCTTAAAATGCGTTGACATTTAAAAAAAAAAATCTCCCAAAGACTTATGAAGCTGAGTTAGAAACCACGCGTAAAAGGCTTCCCAGAGACAATTTGAATAGAAATTTGATCACTTTTTAATGGTAAGAAGTGTCGAGTGAGGTGTACCGTCCACTTCTTTGAAGTCACACTCTCCATCGCAGTGGTTGTGTGTAATATGACGCTGGTTGTGTTCATCGATTCGCTTAAAAAGGGATGCACCATGGACAGGAACATTTACGCATGGCGTTAAAGAAGATATTGTAGACACACCGTATGATTGCTCTGCCATGAGACACTGGATGCGAGGACTACGAGCTTCAATCAAGACTATTATGCTTCTGCTCTGAGCGCCTCGGCACCATGCAGCTGCGCCGCTCATCCTGAACTTCTGGGACGTTTGCGCTTCGTGATCGCCACCCGGATTTTGCCCAGGAGCTGGGAAGAAGATGGCATTGAGCGAAAACTGCAAAACTCAACCTGTTAAAGAGCAGGGATCGGTACAAAATCCCCCGTCGGACGTTATAGAGCTAAACGTGGGAGGGCAGGTGTATTACACTCGTTATGCCACATTGACTGGCTTTCCAAATTCCTTACTTGGGAAGCTGTTCTCAAACAAGAAGGGATCTTCAAATGACTTGTCCCGGGATCTCAGGGGACGGTATTTTATCGATAGAGATGGATTTTTGTTTCGATATGTGCTGGATTATCTCAGAGACAAGCAAGTGGTCCTCCCTGACCACTTCCCAGAGAGAGGAAGGTTGAAAAGAGAGGCTGAATACTTTCAGCTGCCAGAATTATCGAAACTTTTGTCTGCCGAGGAATCTAAACTCTTGCCAGATGAGTTGTACTATAGCGATTTGGATGATGTGTCGCAAGGCAGTGACCAGAGGTTTTACCCCTCTTACGCCTTAGACAGGCGATACGGTTACATCACGGTCACTTTCAGGGGCGCTTGCGCCGCGGGAGGCAGAGAAAGTCACACCGAACCCAAGGCCAAAAAGTTACCGAGAATCTTTATCAGCAGCAGGATTGGCTTAGCGAAAGAGGTGTTTGGAGACGCCCTGAACGAGAACAGGGACACGGACAGACCCCCTGACCGATACACGTGCAGATTTTACCTCAAGTTCAGACACCTGGAAAGGGCTTTTGACATGCTGTCAGAGTGCGGCTTCCACATTGTGGCCTGCAATACGTCCCTGACAGCCTCCTCCCTGGCTCATTACGCGGATGACAGAGTCTGGTCCAATTACGCACAGTACATCTTTTACCGTGAGTGAAGTGTTTTTTCACAAAAAAATATTTTAGACCTTCGCAAACTATAATTTTTCACGCAATAACCATCTAAAACACGGTTAACAAGTAATGTAAACAAGTAAAAAGGAAAAAGAAACAACTGCCCCTCCCTTGTTCTTTCCTCTCTAAATATTTTCATCCCTCTCAGGGGCTGACTTCAAACTTATGTTGAGGGTCCGAGATGAGAGGCAGACTTGCCCACAGGCCCCGGGGACTTGAGTCACAATGCTGGAACACTTCAAGCGTACATGCGTCATGCGTAAACATGGCTTATCGCTCAGATTATGCCAGCCGTCGGGTTATGAATAATATAGCACAAGTGGGCAGCAAGATAAAAAAAGAGAGAGAAAGAGAAGGCATATAAGTGCTCCCCGCCTTCTCTTGAATTGGCTTTACTTTGAAACACGGGTTGTTCACTTAATTAGCTGAAAAGATAGTCCATTCCTATGCAGAGGGGGAATTGGGCCATATGGCCAATTATAAAGCGCTTTGTTCATTATTCTGAATAGCTCCCTTTAGAGAAGCTGAGGAGAGCCTTATAGGTTTGTGAGAAGCAGAGGTGCAAGAGGATGGGCTGAAGAGAATGTGACATATGGTTAACTAATGACTGTCTAATTCTGTCATCAAAACAGGGTAATTATTACGAGAGATTTGCCTTGACCCCAAAAGCCCCTTGCCTGGTTGGATATTCTAACGATTCGTAGCCGAGCATATGGTGAAGGTGTTCACCTCCTTCCTCATTAACAGGCACCACCCTAGGACACATTCATGGGGCAGAGGGAGAAGGATGAGGAGGTGGTAAAGTACAGTCTCCGTTATGAGCCGAAAGAAGCTCCAGTGGTGTTAGTAGTAAGAAAGGGGAAGGAAAAATAGAGTGGGGAGGCAAGGAAGCAAGCTGAAAAGAAGAGAAGGCGAGCAGATGGAGAAGAGAGCTGCTGAGGAGGAGGTATGGGGGAGTAAAAGTTGCATGAGACCTGGCCATGGGGAGAAAGAACTGAGGCAGAAAGAAGCAAAAGGGAGTGGGAGCAAAAATAGATTAAAGTAAGGATCAGACAGGAGAGTTCACTGAGTGTGAGGAAGCGGATAAGGAGGGGGGAAATTAGAGGGTGATAAGGCATGGAAGCATTGGGAGAGACTGTTTTTTCATTAATAAAGAGCAGATGAGGTGAGGATGAAAGGAATCTAGTCTATATTGCGAGCATGGGGAGACAGAGGTCTTGTCAGGATGATGGATAGATACATCAAAAGCAGACAGGCGTGAGAGCCCCTGCATCACAGCAGCACGGTGGCCCGAATCCACTTTCAAAACGAATACTGTAACCTGGTTCTGAATGTGGGACACTGTCTGGCCTAGAGCAGGTGAACCTGAACATAGAATGCACATGGACCCACACGCATACTCTACTAAACAGGTTATTTTCATTGCTGTTTGTTGTCTTAAGCAGAACATGTCTCTATCGTTTCAATCCTTTTATGCATCCAAATACCAGCTCACAGGAGTGGAAATTGAAGGGGAAATTGTGAGTGTAAAAAGAGTAATCCAGAGCGGTAAGCAAATCAGGAGACTTTCTTCCAGCCTGTCAGGTCCTTGACATCAGTTGTGTTGCTCTTCTTTCAAAATGCACCACTTTGTTATACAACTCCACTCACTCTTATAATTCGTGTGGACTCTATTGAAGATGCTCACCATAGATACTCACAATATTTTACTTTGTGGTCTCATCCTAATCTTAACGGAAATGTCCGGTTGAAGCTTAATTTCTCTGAAGATTGAATCAACAATACTTCCATGAGAAACTTATCCGGAGGCCACAATCAAGTTTATATCATGATTAAAGTTTAATATGTCCTGGCTTGGTCATCTTTTTAATAAATACTGGAAAAAAAGTCAAACTTGTCATAATAGATACAAAGATCATACAGGAGAGAACAGATGAGTAGCTGGTTTGGCTGGTCTTTTACACCCAAGGAACTAGGTAGACTAATTTCTCCTGTATTCCAAAACACCAGCTATGTTTTCTGTTGGTCGGAGCAAGAACTGCAAATGGACAAAGACCACATAACCCCCCAAAAACTGGTTGTAAGATTACATATGCTAGATTAAGTACTTTGACATAAATCTTTTCGAATCCCCTTTCCAAGGTCCTGGCTTTGGCTATATTAGAAACATTTACATTACATTGATTTAAGAGGCACGTCTACCCGAACGACTTCCGATTGAATAACACAATGAGGGAAAATGAGAGGTTCATGATTTTACTCAAGGATACTTCAAAATGCTGAGTGGGAAAGTCAGGGGTCACAACAACAACCCCGGACCTGAAGGACAACCTCTTTATCTCCTGCTGCTGCAAATGTCTACTTGAATTCTGAGTCCCTGGCAGGACATCAAAATTTGAAATGGAACTCTACCAAATCTGCCAAGAGGAGTGCTCAAATGTCCAGCTTGTTTCTATCAAATATTTCTGTTGTGTATCCTTCCCCCATTATCTATTCATTATTCACTGGGACTGCCAACATGAATCAGGAGAAAGAATAAAAAGGCGAAAGCATAAATATAAAATATTTACAGGAAATTCACGTGACATTCAACCACAAAGCTATTAATACTGATTTGAAGATCATTGAAAACATACCCAACAATTACGATTGGATCAATTTGAATTTAATCCTTCATCTGACAGTGGTGATTTTATCTTAGGTCATGCTAAGTTGTTTGTCAAGAAAGAATCTAATACATGTTACATGTTTTTTCTCTCTAATGGCAGATAGTAAAAATATTATTGCTCTATAAATGAGAAATTGTAGCCCTCCAGCTGCTGCTCGCGAACGGTCTCCTTATTGGTAATCATCTGTGAGGATAGAGTTAGCCAATTGGAATGCAGCCTTAAACCCTTTTTTCCCCTTGTCACAGCACAAGACACGAGACATTGACTGTAACCTATTTCCAAGACCATTTGAAAATGTAAGTCAAACTGTACAGCTGGAGAACCTCAACTCGGTTCACTGATTTACAGCCAGCTGTCAGCTTGGATAAAATAACATCATAATCTGCTTTGAACTTTAAGCTTCCACATAATAGCGGCAGAGGAAATCAACATTGAGCACTGGGACTTGAAACACTGGAGGCAACCTCAGTTTTTGGAGGCAACCAGTCCAGCACAGAGCTATGCCCAATCAAAATGGGAGACGTGTACAGTTAAGTCAGAGAATGATTATACATTCCGTGTTTTTCTGTTAATATAACTGTGCAGCCTTCATTTTGGCTGTGAATGATGTGATCTGTGGCCATAATAGATACTGAACAATGGCCACCCAGCGCCACAGAGAGACAGGGAAAGTAATCAGTTGCTTGGATGTAATAGAGGCAGAGATTGAGCCATTGCTGAGCCCCCCCCCCCAGAGTCTGGCTGGAGTCTGGATAGGCAATACCCACAAGAGATGGATGGTGTTTCCATGAATAACTCATTCATGTCTATAAGAGCACTTGGGCAGAAAAATGGTTGGAAGTGAGGCGAGGTGTATGAGAATGTGCCAATTTCTTTCTCGCAATAGTTGCCGGATTTCTGTGCACAACTTCAGTCTGAGTAAACAGAGATACATCTCACACTGTCTGCATGTTTATTGGTTGTCCTCAAAGTTGACAGCTGATTTATCAATAAGAATGTCTTGTTTTCGTTATAAACTAATGACGTCGAATGCAGGATTTTTATCGGGGCATTTTGACATTTCCCATGAAAATGATGACAACATGAACACGATACAGACACAAATCTCCAGCCTGTTCCTTTGAAGCAAATATATTTAGATAATAGAAGTGTATGGCCATTAATTAAACACTGCAGGTTATTTCTGTCCTTCCTTCAGCTATTTTGTACAGTGAATCTGCTGGAGAACAGGTATAGCAGCTCTTCCTGGGTCTGACATCTAACACCTTAATGATGTCTCCAGAGGCACTTAATGGCTATTTGGATGTGAATGTCCTCACACTGCCGGCAGCTGAGTGTTTTCTGTAGACAGGGGATTCCCTGTGTTGGTATGCAGAATTTGACCTTTGCAGATAGGGCCTTATTGTCCTTTTGTTTTCAAAGACTGCATGGAATCATGTGCATATGTTATAATGTGTGCAGTATGTCCCTAAGAATAAATAGACTTTCTAATTCTTGCATTTACTCAGATGTCTATCTTCAACCATGTGGTGAGGGATCAGAGCGGCTTCTCCTTTTCCCTCCAGCGCCATTTACAAGCTGACAATACCTGTTCCAATGTTTCAGATCCTTCACTCCTTCTCTCAGCTCCATTTTGCTTGATAAGGGTTTGTGTCGAGGAGAGGTGTGTCTCTGGGTCAAGGGAGAGGCTGATATAGACATTTCAATCTGCCTGCGTTGCTCATCTCTTCATCAGGGTGACACTCAGCGGACATTCAGCCACCCTCTGGCTCGGCAGGGGACAGCACCCGCTTGTCATTTACAATCAGGCGGTGACGATGTCACTCTTGTCATGCTGAGCAGCTAATGTGAGGCAGGCCTGTGAGAGTTCACGAGAATCCACATGCTCAAGGTCATATAATGCTTGTTAGCAGTCCCCAATTGACTGTAACTTGGGTTTCCTCATAAATAGTCCCAACACGAGGTTTTTCACGAGAGCAGGACCGGATGAGGGAAATCACTATTGACAAATTCAAATGTATGCAGACGCTATGGGTAGGATTCTTAGTGGCAGGAGAATGACCATCAGATAGGCCGGAGAGAAGTGCTGAGCTGATCATTTTGCAGCAAATAAAGCTATACGCTTCCTTTTTTCTCTTTAAGGACCGTCACTGCCTTTGCAAGACAAGCCTTTTCTCTGCTGCAAGGACACACTGGCCTAATTTGTGAGCTAACAAGCATGTAAACTATTCTGCTCCTCAGGCATCGAAGACTAATATTTGCGTAACTGGATATGGGGCCTTGAGAATATGGGTGTGCCAATGATCAGAACATCTTCCCCTTCCTGTGAGCTTCAATCCCTCATTGGTATTTGTGCATTACCAAGGTGCTTTTACTTTTGAAATATATACATCACAGGATTTGATTGTGTTTGGAAAAATAACAGACAGGAATGTAAGTCATTGAAGCAGACACGTCAGTAATTCAAGTAATGCAAGTGTCCAACTTAAATTCTGTTTCTGATGTCTTCATTTTTTCAGTTCACATCACAGCTGAAATTACATTCAGACAGAAGCCAACTCTTTTCTCTTGTAACATAATTTAACATCACACACTTGATGAGCCAATATAGAGTAAGAAAAGAGAGGGAAAACCAAAGGAAATAAATGATTATGCTTGCCAAAATTTTGTGACATTTTATATATAGGTTTGTAAGAGAACTCTGCATTTGGTCCCCATCCTGTCCTACTTAACTGCCATTTATAGCCTTTAAAATACACAGTCAGAAGATTTTTCAGCCATGAAGACAAATCTCTCATTTGTCGTTTGAGGGAGTTTTTGGAAGCTATCACGCCTCCATGCAGAACTCAACTCCATCTTTCTGTGTTATTTATGAGAACTGCAGACACAGCTCAAGTCTGGTCTGAAGACCAGCCCCAGATTTTTAATGTGGTGGGAATGTGATCTCTTAGGCAGGCTGTGTAGAGTGGAGAAAAACACATTACAATCAATAGCTTCCCTGAAAAGATACTAAAGTGTATTATACACACCCACTTGTTTAAATGCAGCAGAGAATGACTGTGCTTCCTGAGTGGGCTCTTTTTTTTATAGTGTTGAATGTGAAGGGTTCATTGAATTTGGAGACTTTAACATTTGTACTTAAAAAAAAAATCATTTTAATGACATTTTTCATGTAATAGAACATAGTTTTCCATTCTGTATTTTTGGTAAGTAGTTTGGTAAGTTTGGTACAGTCAACACTGTCTTTGTGAGTTATCACGTCCTGTACCTATTTAAGGCTCCCTGAGTTCTTATTTGGTAGATTCCATGCAGCAAAATACTTCCAGTTCACTGCCCCTTAGAGGCCTGTCCACAGATTTTTGATGGTGTTTAAGTCGGAGGAGTGTGAGGAACTGTGTCATCACGTCCCTCTTGAGTCCACTGTGTATTTTGGGTGTTTGGGTTTAGCATTATTATCCTGTTGTAGCAGCAAAAGCAATCCTCTTTTCATCCTCAGCTGACAGTGTGATGCTTGCTTTCAGAGTCTGATGGTATTTAATGGAGTTCATTCTTCTCTCTACCAGGGAAATGGTCTCTGTGCGCCTGACACTGTCAGAGAACTCTACCTTCAGTTGATCAAAGCCTGATCGATCCCACTCCAGTTGGAGAGATGTTCAATATAATTTTTTTCAGCACATTTACAAATGTCTGATGCTGAGTTTTCTGGTGTTTCTGCAAAAAGTATTCTGGTGCTTGAATACCTTCAAGGTGTACTTCATGGAAAATGTAGGTTATATAGGTTATTTTGTGTCCTCTGATAACCTTTTTGGGCATTTGAGCGTTACTTTTTACCGTGCAGTACCGTGCAGCTATTGGACAATCTGTTTACAGCTGACTGTTGGAAAACAGTTAAATAACTCAGATAATTAATAAAGCTTTTAATATACGCCTCACCTCACTCCTCTTAAAAACAAAAACTAACAGCTCTTAAAAGTACACAAGGCCTGAGATTAAGGTATAAATGATTGATCCTTCATTTCCCATCTAAACTTGCACAAAAAATAGCAAACACATGTCTGTGCTCTCTTACAATAAAGTTTAGCAACAAAGAATAATTAAAACTGAGGTATTTTCCAAGGCTGTCAGCGTCTCTATAATAATTCCTTTTCCAGCGTGGCCAGTAAATTTTGTGTTGCTGTTATTGGGTGTTGGCTAGCTTTCTAATCATGTCGCCCCTCTGGACTACAGCATCCACCCATTTAGAAAACAATGCTCAGCCTCCTCCTCCCCACCCTGCTCACTAAAGCGCCTACATCCATTTTCCCGGTGCAGCCCCGTCTGCAGGATTCAGCAAGATTCATTTTCTGAGGCGGGAAATTGGTGTGCTGATTGGCCTCTTTACTCATGGATTAGCCATTAAAAAGCTGTTAGCTACTCTCTCACTATCAACTCAATGCAATCATTGCACCAGAGATAAGGTCATTATTAAAGTCCACGCAGAGAGGCTAAAATCTCTGTCGGACTCTGTTCAGTGTAAATTGGTGTATGTGCTGGGAGGAGGGAATGGGCAAATCATTGCTCCCCATGAGATATCCCTGCTATTGAGTCTGTTATATCACATTAGAGAAAAACTATTTTGAGGTTTTTAGTGATGGTGTCCATTATTTGTCTCTCTCCGATATTGCTGTTTGCATAAAGTGTGGACAACCCCTTTCAGCAACCCACATTTCTACCTGTTAGCAGCTCTAAATGAGATCAGGAACCATGGTTATTTTTTTTAAATGAAAGAGAGCATCTGTGTCTTTACTTGAACACTTCACAAGCCAGCAGGCTGTACTGTACCGTATTTCAGCTCCATAATTAGCTGTGTAGGAGGAAGTGAGATGAGATATGAAGAAGGTACATGAGGAGAGAAAAAAAAAGACTGCCAAAAATCCTCTGCTAGTAGGTGCTGGTCCCATCATAAACACAGCAAATCAAGATAGTACAAAAGTAGAAACATACGTGCCAAATTAAATAGGCATTTCTTGTTTAACCTTTTTTGTTTCCTCCCTAAATGTTAAAATAACAGATTTCTTGGCTAATTTGACAAACCAATCCAAAACAGAAAAACAATACATTACAGTGGAGGCAATGTGCATGGCCCACCAGTTCTTCTGGATTGGTAATTGAATGAATTTCCACTGAAACTATTGTGGATTGATTTGCCAACATTTTCCACTAGAACTGTTTTACTGGATGAAGGCAGAATACTATCACTGTACAGACACATGGGACATTATACATGAGGGTTTTTTATATGTGGTAAAAACAACTGTTGAAGATGTTTTTGTGTGTTTCTTTAAGGCGGACCCTCCCGGTGGTCATCTTCTCACTGTGACTGCTGTTGCAAAAGCCACAAAAGTGAGCGTGAAGGAGAGAGCGGCACCTCCTTCAATGACCTCTCCACTTCCTGCTCTGAGACCCAGTCAGAGGCCAGTTCCCCTCAAGGAACTGTGGTCCGTGGCCCTGTAAACCGGCAGTCCAACATCCAGTCTTTGGACCGTCCTAAAGGACCGGCCCACATGCTGCACCACGCAGAGATGCGCCGCAAAACAGACATGCTCCGCGTGAGAACCTTCGGCATGCGGGAACGAGAGGCCGCGAAGAGGAAAGCAAACAAGGAGAAGATGACCCCAGAGCAGGAGCTCGAGAAATGCATCCAGGACTTCCAGCGCATAAGGATTCCCGATCGCTTTCCGGAGAGGAAGTACATCTGGCAATCAGAGCTCTTACGAAAGTATCGTCTCTGAATATTAGCATGACGGCGAGAAAGGGGAAGAAGGAAACTATGAGAGATTCTCCTGTTGTGTCACGTCACCATCGGTAAAGAGAGTTAAACTGAGTAGGCAATACACTGCACCCTCTAAGACACATACTGTACCAGGGAAACCGGCTGTCCGGTCCGGATGTACAGTGAAACACACGCAGTACAAGGCAGTGTGACCTATTGATTAGTAAAGCTTGCACAGCGTTGTGTACAATATGCACATGTGTAAAAACAGACTGAGGCTTACATCAGACTTCCTGCTCTCACTTTTGAGAGCTGAGACAGGCATACTATAGGTTATCATTTCACATCAACATACCAACCTCAGGGGAAACGTCATTTCTGTTCACAAACCTGTCAACCACTGTATGTGCGGCTGCACACAATAGCTGTTTTTTAAACTGGATGAACCCAGATGGTGCCGTGAGAAAGCAACGGATATCATTACACTTCACTGGTAACACGTATACGTTAAGTACGCTTTGGTAACACCACTGCATGTCATTTCACCCTTAGCATTATTATGCAATATGAAGCAAAATTTCAATTCACTGTTTTGTCAGACGGGTAAATGTGATGTTATGAGAGGGGCTACTGTATTGAGGGGAGCACTGGCTAGATCTGTTTGCCATTGTAGAAGTTCTTGTCTAATTTTGTCATTATGTGTTGGTGAGACAATTCTGTGTAGGTAAAGTATATAACGCAAATGGATATTGATCTAATTATTGATTGTCAGTGTGCAAAAAAGTAAATAAATCGGTTAGAATTCTATTAATGACGTGGATCTTCTTGTGACATTTGAAGTGAATCTCATAAGCATCTTTCTGACACACAACTTCAGCATGGCTGAGAAAGGCTCATCAGCAATGTCACAATCTACACTATACATGTATATGACACACTCCCCTATCTCAACAAAACTCTAAAGTCTACCTTTAATCGTACTGTCACTCTCTTCATGCATTACACTTGCCTCCCAGTGATCTTTGCTGATGTGGTTGCATTTTTAGCACTAAGACGCTGACACTAATATTCCATGAGTACTCCAGCCAAAAGCAGTATCTTTTGCCAGTAAAGTTATCTATTCAGTTCTCTGGCCAAACCAGTGTTCTGACAAACTGCTGTGACTGAATGAGAATCGTGTTATTTTGCTTAACGTGAAGGGATGAACAATGAACAGTCACAGCTTTTTCCGACAGTTTAAAGCTGTAGTTGTATAACAGTTTTTATTCATTTCACTCATGTATTACTTAGCATGGCAAAATGATTTGTGCTGTCAACCTCTCAGAAAATGATTTGAATATCAGTGATACTGTAGGATGGAAAGAGTTGAAAGTGTGAGCAAATCGTCAAGTAAACAGAGAAAATGTGAAGAGAAAACAAGTTAAAAAGCGACTGTTGCAAATGGGTCTCATTGCTCTGTGATCATACTGCCTTAAGAGCACCATTCATGAGCAATAACTTTGGAATGGCTTTGTAGTGGTTGCTGTTAGCATCTTAATCTTGCCAAAGGCCATTATGAAAGGATGTTACAGGTTTTATTTGACATTCTGTATAGAGAACAGGCTTTTAAGTGGACACAGCCCTTTTCAGGGTCCCACCAAATGAGTTAGTAATTCACAATTTGTTTCTTTGATTGAACATTTAAGTTGCATGTTCTTTAGACAGCAAACTTGACTTTCAGAGGAAAGTGTGCACAGTGTACACAGCAATTTAGAAAAAGCAATTCTTGCAAAGACTGGGTCATCTTCTTCAAGATGACAACAGGGAGAAGTGTGCATGTTCCCCGAGGAAGCGTTCTGCTGTAAACTGAGCACAAAGTATTGTGAGGTTGCAAGGACATAATTGTTCAGTGCAGGAATGTAGCATTTGTTGGCAGGGAGACAGGGGCAATAATTAGTGTTCGAAGAATATGTGACTCATAGTTGTTGTGAGAGAAACTGCATGTGCACAATAAAAATGTGAAATGCCCTTTAGCCCTTGTCATGATCTGGTCCTGTCCCAGTGTTGATGCAGCTTGTGCCAAGCAGGAAATAAAAAGGTGTTGCTGCAATGTGTTGTGTTACTAACAAATTAACATCAAATTTGGAAAAAAAAAATCTCTCAGCCCATGAATGTTTTCACCATGTGGATTGTTAAAAACCCTCAAAAAATCTTCTTTAACCATGTACTTGATTGTGATGTCAGCTTACTTAATCCTGATGCAATGTGAATATGAGCCACAGGGGTATTAGCTCACGGAAAATAATTTTGAGCTCTAAAAAAGGGCATGAACATAACACGTATGCCTCAGTGGTCGGCTTGTCCTTAATCACTTACTAAATCTAAGAATTTACTATAAACCATGTCATATAAAATGTAAGAGTGGTGAGAAATCTTAATGAGTAGAATAACAAGTGAATAAAGGCTGGATGTAAAATTCAATGTGATAGAGCAAACAAAAATATAGTTTCCTTTAGCTCTTGGACCAGTTTCCAGGGTGTACATTGCCTCTCGCCCATTGACTACTGGGATGGATGGATGGATGGATGGATGGATGGATGGATGGATGGATGGA